AGGGGCGGATCTGAGATTAAGGTTAGCAAAAGGATTGGGCCTTTAACCTAATCCACTCTAGGAGACCAAATTCAAATCAGATTTGAATATGGTAAAGATCAGGAGTTAGCTAACCTAATCTATAGATAGGATTAAGAGCATCCCCTATCCAGATGCTGATTTGGATTGGGATAACTCCTAATTAGGAGGTTTCTTAATCAAGAAGAGAAAGAGGAGAAACCCTAAGAGAGATACAACAGAATTCGAACCTAGGGTTTTTAGCAAGAAAGTTTGCTGCGAATTGAGATAGGATCTCATACATACTCCAGAGAGAAGAGAAGCATTATTCGCCATCTTCATCTCAGTAATTCTCCTCCAGCCGCCGCCATTCTCTGAAAAGATTGGATCTTTGAAGGAAAGAAATCAAGAAATCAGTTCTTGATATCAGTTTAGCAGAAAGAACTGAAAAGATTTGGTGCTCAGAGTTTCTAGAGGATTCTTGTGAAGGATTCAGTGTGTAGGATGCACTCTGTTGGTTCCGTTCCACATATTGCTGTGTCATCTTCAGCAGGAGCGAATCTTGGTGTCCTCTTTGGGCGTGAACACCAACTTTGGGAGATACTGCTTCTCTGGATCAGGTATAATTCCTCCCTTGTCTTTTGGTTCAGATCTGGTTCGATTATGGTTCAAGCAGGATCCTTGAATATTGCATTCTAAATTTAGGGAATATGATTTCCAGTTGGAAGAAGGTAGGAAAATTTTTGAAATTCGCCCACCCATTCCGCAACCTTTTTGGCATCCATACGATGGATCCTACCATTCTTTCAACCTTTTGACTGTAAGACTATCAAACCATTGATTTTGTTTATACTTTAATTTAACTACCAATTATGGTTTGGCTTTTCATTCCACTCATAAACACCCGTAACATATTAGCTTTGTTCCTGAATTAACTAAATATCAGTGGCTATATCTAATGTGCAAATTATAAGAATTAAAGAGAAAAGTTACTTTGTTCATGATACTCAGTATTATACTACAGAGTTCCCCCCTCCCCCTTAGAAGTTAGAACCATACATCTGAGCGATCAATTTGTAATTTTCTGTTCTCCACCTTTTGGCATTGCATATTGTTTAGCAATCTACTTGTTACTTAATATATTATGTAAATCTTGGACTAACACAACTATGTCATTTTTTCCTTCTTACTATGTGTAAATTCGGACAAAGCATGTTTAAATTATGTTCTAGAAGTGAATAGTCAAATAGCAAATTGAGAGACCAGTCATTGTAGGCGACAAGCCACTTAAAAGAGAGTTCACATACCACGTCTATCGTGTAAGGAGCATGGGCTTGATTCAATGCTCCTTCCATAGCATCTCTAAATGACTATATCTAGATTGGATGACCCTTTAAAGAAAAAGTGGCCTTTGAGAACAGAATAGCTCCTGCCAAAAATCAAACAAAACACCATGAGATTAGCTCAAGAAACAAATAAGACTTTAGATTTAAAAAATCAAGCTTACACAGAGTATAATCAATATGCAATTTGCCATTGTTTGGTACGAATATAGCATAGTTCCAAGTTTCAGGGCATTTAGGCATTTAGCTTGGGTTACGCTTAAGCCAACAGCTTGCAATTTCCAAAAGCCATGAAACGCATAAAATGAAACCTACAATAGATGCTATTGGATGCATATTGGAGTAGAAACTTGACAAGATTTAAAAAGATACACATCTTTCTCTTTCCTCCTAAACCTTGAGAAAGAAACTTTGTAGCACTTGAAAATCTAGAAGCAGCCAGTAAAACTTAGTTCTTAATTGTTGAGATTCAAAGTAACATGTCAAGTCTTATCTAAATCAAACACAAAATCGGAATTTCTCGTCATTACAACTTAATGACATCCAAATGAGGCGAAGGGTCAAAGGCTAACCTGGGCGCCTTTGAGAATAAATCCAAAGATGAAGCTACTTAAACTGAGATAGAAGGAAAGACTGAACGCTCTGTATATATAATCAGCAATAAGGTTGAAGACTTGAAGTGGTGGTACAGAGGGATGCTGCTGTGGCTATTAACAGAGAGAGAGAGAGAGAGAGTTACAGAGGAAGGTATTGTCGATGGGTGGCCTTATAAAATGGTGAATGGAAGAGAATCCTGTCTCACGCCTAGGAAAGTGCAGGAGATCGGGCCGAGGTGGAGGCGGAAGCGGAGAAAACAAAGGCAAAAGGTTGGAACTCTGGAACCATATTCATTATCCAATAGAAATGGGTAATCCGTGACCCAAAACAATTAATCCATTTTAAATCACCCATTGATTACCTCCACCCAAATACTAAAAACGGGATTTTTTGCCTTAACAACCCTCGAATATTGTGAAAAAAAGGCCAATTTCGATCTAAAAAATAGGAAAATTTTCCTATTAGTAGTCTGTACTGGGTCAAGTGCCACTTTGGTCCCTGAATTTTAAAATGTGACAATTCAGTATTTGAACTTTTAAGCATGACAACCCAATATCTATTGTTAATTAGTTGTTAATTAACCGTGAAGTGGTAATTGAAAAATATACAAATGTCCTTTTGAGTGTCATTTAATTTTCTTTATCAACATTGACAAAAAATTAATGATCTCAAATCATTGCCTCTTTTATTCAATAAAATTGGGGTCACCAGAATGCCCACTCAAAAGTGACCCCAACTTTTTTGAATGGAAAACATAAGGATTTGAKACTGTTAATTTTTTGTTAATGTTTATATGGCTGATATAAAAAAAAAATAATTTAACACTTGAAAGGCATTTGTCATTTTCAAATGTCACTTAATGATTGGTTAACAACTGATTAATGACAAGTACTGGATTGTCACATTTTAAAAGACTAAGTACTGAATTAAGCATTTTTTAGTTTGGGAACCAAAGTGGCACTAGGTCCAAAGTAGAGATTATTAATCCAGAATTTTTCCCTAAAAAATAAAAAATGGCCATTTTTTATGTCAAACTTTGATACAAAATGTCATTTGTAAGCAAAAGCATACATTATTTGAAAACGGTGTGAAGATATCTATTAGATAATGTTATGTGACAAGGCCATCTTTTTATACAGTCCATTTTAATAAAATTAATTAAGTAAATTATTTAATGGTCTAATTAAATGCCTCTAAAATATAAATAAGTTTTAGTTTACTTAATTAATTAAATGATCTTAAAGTATTTAATACTAATTAAGAAAATTAAGTAAACTAAGCAACTAAACCAATAAATTAAATTAATTGAATAATTAATTAAATTCAATAAATAAGATTAATCAATCTAAATAAGTAAATTAAGCCAAATTAGCAAGACAGTTTAAAAACCAACCCAATATGAAACCATTTCGACCACTAATTTCTAGGTCAACAGCCTGATCATCTGATCCGAATATATCAATCCATGACATTTAAAAAAAAAATAAAGAAATGACTTGAAAACCATCTATTGGATGGAACATTTTAAAAGTTCGACCTTTTTGGGACATCAGTTTGTTGGAAGGAGTGTAAATACAAATATCTAATAAATACATACAAAATATAATATTTTACACTGTACATATTTGCATTTGTACTCGAGCCATAAGAATTGAGAATAGCGAAATTAATTGTCCATCGAAGACATGGTATCGTATTCCATGTTTTCACAAATAAAAATTGGCTTAATCTTTTAAATCAAATAAAAAAAAAACTAATACAAATTAATAATGGGTGTCAAGCAAAACAGGTCACAGTAGTAACCCCCTTAGCAACTAAAGTTTTTTTATTAATATTTTAAAATTAAATCAGATTTAATTTGTAATTGACAACTTAATACTAATTTGGGTCATTATTAGCAATTAATAAATTAAGAATAAATTATAAAAATGGGGACCGCATTATCTTGCTTCCTACTCATTCCCAAACAAAGAACTGTCATCTACCTCCATTTCTTTCGTATTAAGTGGAACAATTTCATTTTACTTGCATAAATAAATAAAAAAATAACAAATCAACATTTTTCTCATAATATTCATCCATAAATATTCATAAAAGTAATTTTTAATTTACATACGCAACAAATTTTGCAATTTCCACAACAGCGTTTATTGATGTCGCGCCTAATACAAAACATATATTTAATAAATGAAACTATACCAAATACATATTAATATTATGTTGCCGCAAAGACAAGATACCGGAAAATCCTATTAATAAAATATTGAAATACAAAAAATGGGGCGGTGGACATTCCGGTGACAGAGTGGGTCTTCCACGGAGGCTGCCTTTCCGACTTCCAACCTCCTCTTCCTCTCTGTCGATTGTCGTTCGCCACCGGAGCCACTTATGTCTTTCGATCCGTCCAAGACGGAAAAGAAACTAGAGAATCTTTGAAGAGAGTTCCGTGATCAAGTAGGAGTCTCGAAGCTCTGCAACAATGGCGATTCTCTACGCAGTGGTGGCGCGAGGGACAATCGTTCTGGCTGAGTTCAGCGCTGTCTCTGGGAACACAGGCGCTGTTGCACGAAGGATCATGGAGAAATTGCCGTCTGAAGTTGATACGAGACTCTGTTTCTCGCAAGATCGGTATATATTTCACATACTGAGCTCGGATGGTCTCACCTTTCTATGCATGGCGAACGACACCTTCGGGAGTGAGTGTTCGCTTTCAATTTTTTTAAAAGTTTGAGTTTCGCCTGATATTAATTTTGGGTTCTCTTATATTTTCTTCCTTCAGTTTCATTTACTGAAGACGAATTCGGTGGTTGGGGGGTGAATTTTAATTCATATATGATTCATGCTCGACTATGGAGTTTCTGTTGCTACTGTTGTGATTGGTCATTGTGGAATTGGGATCTTATGTATGGTTTCATTATCCACTGCGTTCGAGTTTGTAATCTGTTCAATTGATTTAATTGATAGAACTGAAGTTTAAATTGTGATTTGAAGGTCCTAGTTTAGAACGTTAAAATATTTGCACTGAACACTGAGATGGGAATGTTTTTGTTGTATATTTGGTTAAGCAGGTGGGAGGGAAGATTATGGGAGTTGTGTACTTTATGGCCTGCTTTGTAGAAGTGAAACTTTCAATGGCTTCTGATTTTTTGTTCTCTATCTCTTAATGAATGCTGAATTTTTGTTCTTATTCTTCAACCTGGTGTCCTTTAAATCTCACATTAATTTCATTACTTCCGTGGGATAAGGAACTATGAGTCGTCAAAGTTTCGTTTCTTATTATACACAAACAAGTCAACAAGAGTCAGCCTTTCCTAATTCCTAATTGCATGATATTATAGATCATGAATATGGTCTTTTAGGAATCTTTCATGTTCTTTGATAGTTCTGCCATTTTTTTTTCTTTCTTTATTATAGATGTATCTATTTTGCAAAATCCTAGAAACCATTTTTCAATCCACATATTCATATTTGTAAAAGCCTCTTGATTGTGCCACGTCTGCCAACCTGCCTCTTTGTAATCTCTTATTGAATGACATAAATACTTCACTGTTCTATTGATCCATGAAAGCCTTTTGATTGTGCTAAGTCTGTGTATCTGTGCTTTTGTATGAAAGGATGATTCTATTATGGGTTTATGGAGGTTTTGTGACAATATTTTAGAAGCGAGAACCTTGGTGTTCCATAAAAGCAATAAGAGCCCCCTAGTCCTGCCAACTCAAATAAGCAATAAAAAGGCCAAACAAAGTCCATTAAGCTACCAAATGCCCCAGAAAACACATACAACACAGGTTCCTAAACTAGAAAAATAGAAGCCTAAATGGGAGTTACAGGAAAAACCACCATATGCAGTCAAGTAGAAGATCTTGTAATCTAATAGAAAGATCAATTATAATCTATTTGTTCATCAAAACTAAATATTTGTTAATTTTAAAATTTGGAGAAAATTGAAAAATGTATTGGTTCATTTTCTTTTTAATTTCTTTGATTTCATAAAACAAATACATCTAATATATTCTGAATATTGGAGTTTTTTGTCATACCACTTTTTTTTTTGGCTGCATGTTTGTGGAATTCTACATATATTTTTCGAGTTATTTTCTATTCAATTATTTAATTAGGTTAAACTCTATTCTACATATATTTTCCAAGTTAGAGATTTGGAAGTGGAGGGCGACTCACAATTAGTGATCCATTGGGCAAAGCAGCTGAAGGCAGCATCTTGGAAATACAAACATGCTTTCAAGGAAATTGATGTTATTGCAAAGCATTTAAATGCACATTTCAGCTGGGTGAGAAGGTCTCAAATGGGGTAGCAGATTTATTAGCTAAACAGGGAGTTGACAGGCAAAATCTTTTTTGGGCAAACTTGTAAAATGTTACCAAAGGGTGTTTGTATCTTCAACAATTGTATTAACTTTAATCTTCATCTTTAATGAAATCATTTGCTGATATAATAAAAAAACTCTATTCTACTCTTCTGTGATCAGCCTATGTTCCTCTTGTTCTGTTAGCATTGTGCTGCTTGTATATGTTTCACTTTAAATTTCATGTGGTTTTTATAATGTTAATAATTGAAAAGAGATTACCTTTAGGAAGTCATGAGCTTGTATGTACACGGGCTGTGTTTTTTTTTTGTCTCAATGATTTCTCTTCACCTGAGATTTTATCTTATTTTTCTTCTAATATTTTTATTTACCATCAAAAAGGGCTGGGGCCTGCAAGTAATTATTAGGATCCTGCACATTATGTCCCTTTTTTTACTTGCATTCTTTTTCTTATCTTGTTTGTTTTTTCACTTGTATGGAATTATTGACATTTTATATTCTATGATATTTGGGTACCTATACAAGGGTTCTGTACTGTGTCAGATACTTAATTGTTTAGTATTGGATACTATGTTGTTGTGCCCTTGTCATATCTGGGTAACATAGTTTGTGTCTGATTTTTTCTTGTAAATGGAATCTTTACTTTACCTTGTAGCTTATTGACACACTTCACTTTTTGACTATCAAAATCACATAGAGTATTTTATTTTATTTTGTTTTTGGGATGTTAGTTCTGAGGTTGTAGTTAGGTTCCCAGAAGAGTACAGAATTCCCTGAGCAAACATCATACCTGACAAAGTTAAGAAATTGGGGAAGGATGCTATGAATCGCATTCCAAGGAGTTGTCAAAGTAGCCCGTTGAGAAACACCAGCATCCCAGCCATTATTTGACGATCATGAATACTAGCTATCACCTCATGCCACAACTTCCCTCTTTCCAAGGACCATCTCCACAGGCACTTACCTAACAAAGCTGTATTCTTCAAGATCAAATTTCCTATTCCCAATCCACCTTCTTCCTTGCTTCTACACACTCTATCCCACCTTATTAAGTGATTATTCTTCTCTTCCCTTGACTCCCATAGAAAATTCCCACCTTATTAAGTGATTAGTCACATCATTATTACCCATTGCAGTAATAAATTAGGTCATGTATAGAGCCCTACTTAACCCCATTGGTAAACTTTTGAGAAAAATGAAGACAGAGGTACCAATACAACTTAGGATACAGGGCTGATGTGGATGGAGGATTAAACATTCAGCAAATCCAGAGGGTCTCCAATCTGTTGGGCAGCTCAGATTGGCCACATCATTATTACCCATTGTGGCAATAGCGTAGGTCATGTATAAAAAAGCCCTACTTGACCTGATTAGGATGCACATGGTGGGAAAAAAGGAGAATTAGAGATCTAAATTATAAAGAGAGAAGAAGAAGATCACACTCCTACCCACATGTAACTTGAAAACATACTCTTCATTCCATTAATTCAACTCTAAAATTTTGATAATAATAACTTTATTTATGGACTCAACATAAGGGCTAGGATCTCCCTTTACAGACTCCATTCTGGACTTGGAATTTGGCTTATGGCAACTTTTAACCGTTTCTAAACTAAGGCAAACCCATATATAACTAAGGACTTAAAACTCCTTACACAACTTTAGCAAACTTTACCAATCCTGCTATGTAAAAAATTCAAACACAATTCCAAGAGTGATCCAAAGAAATAGAAAGACCAAAAATTCTATCCTAGATTGATAGCCTATTACTAAAATGATCATAACTCTCTTGAAACACATCAGATTTATAAAATATTGGTCTCGGTGGATAGATAAACTCAATCACCTGCCTAATGGCAACAAAATCATGCAAAAGAGGCAAGTTTCAATCCATTATCCCTGTAAAATAAGCTCAAAGAAAAATGATGTGATTCTATCTTCAAAATTTCAAAATTTTAAAAAATCTCTAGTAAGATTCTTTAAACTAAATCTTTTTAGTTCTCAACCAAATTTTTTTTCAGGACCCTAACTTCAGAAGTCAGCACCTCTAAGTTTCCTGCCAAATGGATTTGGATCTCCCATGTCCCTTCTAGAGTATCCTTCTTGGTGTGGGAAGCTTGTTTGAAAAAAACAAACACTTGTGACTTGTTACAGTGGAAAAACAAAGGTAGATGGTGCATCTCCCCCCATACTTGTATTTTGTGCCTAAAGAATGGTGAGTCTGCTGAGCACCCTCTTTTACAGTGCTCAGAAACAAGGGCAATTTGGTGCTTCTTCCTAAACCTAGTAGGATGCAGCTGGGTCTTTCCTGAACATATTGAAGACCTCCTCTGCCAATGGCAAGGAAGAGACCTTGGTAAGAGAGGAATAGTGTATCGGCACATTGTGGTTCAAGCAGTTTTGTGAGGGATATGGGAGGAGAGAAATAATAGAATCTTCAACAATAAAGCTAAAACTATGGTTAACTGATCTCTCACATCTTTCACTTGTGCAACACTTGGGCGCTGAACTCAGAGGTGTTCAAAGGTGTCTCCTTGAATGACCTTCAGAGAAGCACAGTGGAGATCTTGCTTTCTTCTCCAGCTTCTCTAAAAGCAACAAATTTCCCTCATCCAAGTTTAGAAGAGGAGATGACCATGAACTTTGATGGAAGTGCCCTTGGGAGTCCTGGTTTAGCTGGGATTGGGGGTGTGTTTAAGGGAAAGGATGGGAATTTACTGTGGGCTTACAGTGGCCCAATTGGGATGGCAGATTCTACAAAGGCTGAAGTGTTAGCAGTGCTAACTGGGCTCTGGATTGCAAGAGATCTTGGCTTGTCCTCCCTTGCCATCAAAGGAGATTCGAGAAACACCATTGGATGACTTGGGGAGAAGAAACACCTTGGAGGCTTGCTCACTGTTTGGACAAGGCACGGGATCTTCAAGACTCTTTGAATGCTAATCTGTACTGGATTCCTAGAGAGTTAAACCCTGTAGCAGATTGGTTGGCTAAATCGGGAGCCCATAGGGAATTTTTACATAGTGAGAGAGTTATGCCTTTGTAATCTGTGTATGCTCCCTGTTGTACATACTCTCATGTACCTTTCTTGTTTAATGAAATCTGTTATCTTTCATCTCAAAAAAATTCTTTAAACTAATGACCCTTTAAAAAAGAAAATTTCATTAAAAATGAAAAGATACAGAGATAATTAGGTGATGAGGCATCACCCAATACAAATAGAACACTGAACTTCAAACAAAAACAAACAAATATAATAACCGTATTCCTGACTCTTGATGCATTAACAAACTAGAAAATAACTATTAGACAGCTCAAATCACCAAAACTAGAAACACCTGAGATTATGAAGTTTCTATTTGATAAGGAATCAGGAGAAAACTGATTTCTTTCCTCATGGATTTGTCCCTTCTTCCAGCCTGTATAGAAGGGCTTTAGGGCCAGATGTATCCCAATAAATTAAATGCATGCATTGTTTTTGAAACAGGTAAAGTATTGTATTGTATTAAAATATGAGTGAAAGCCAATAACATCAGCCCATGTACAATGAGAGCCTGTATATTGGGAATATACAAAAAGATTCAACTAAAAAAGGTTCCAGCTTGCAAAAAGAGAAATGCTGGACACCCTTGAAAGCCCTTTGTACACACTTAACCGGGAACACAAAAAGCCTATAACCTTGTTTCTTATTGAAGCTACACCAGAACAATTGTTATCAAAGATTCGGCTGTTTCTTTCCTTCCAGAGAGCCCACAGGATAGCAGATGGACAATTTCTCCAAAACAGTTTACCCCTAGCATTCAAACCCTTGAGGAACCACCCTTGCAGAAATTGAAGGGCTGGTTCAGGTAGGCAGGACTGAACACCAAAGCACCAAGCCATTTCCCACAGTTGGGAAGAAAACCTGCAATGGATAAAAAGGTGATTGGAGGATTCAGAAGTCTCGTTGCGCAAAGGGCACAAGATACTAGGAAGATGCATTCCCCTTCTGAGCAGCCGATCAGAAATGCTAAGGAATTGAGTTGATAGTTTTTTGGTTGACAAAATTTTAATAAGATCATAAATTTATAATGGCAAAGAAAATGCGAAAAGGATGGAGGAAAAGCACTTTGATATTTGTATGCAAGAATGGAAGATGTACAAAGTTTCATCAGCAAGCATATATCAAAAAAAAAGTTCATTAACAAGCTTATAAGTTATACCATGGAAATTGGGCGAGGATGAACTGAACACACTTGGGGTTGTGGGCCATTTGATAACTGCTGAAGGTGGAATGTTGAAAGGATTCCAAACTTGAAAAGGGCTTAAATCTGGTGGTATTGCTGGTATATGATAAAACCTTTAGGGGTCAAATAATCACCCCAATGCCTGTGCTTCATCATTAGCAATCAGGTAGGTTTTGAGTTGCTGAAATGCTGAATGAGACATTTTTAAATTTAAAATCTTTTTATCTTTCTGCTTTCACCTCCTATTTCATCAGGTACCAGATGCCAGTGAGTCATGTGAAAAGACTATCAGAATATCAATTTGGTTTCATATCAGGTTGGTTGCAAGTTCGGCAAATTCTATGGATGCCATATTAGCAAGAAAGGAAGCTTTGCTGTACAATTTGCTTGTGGGATTTAATGGTTGGATTCTATCATCTCTATCCCTCTGATGAGTGTGTCTCCTGCTTAGAGATTGGGCTGGGTAATAATATTATGCCCATTATCCCTCATTCCCTCTATTCTCTGTATTCTTTATTTTCTTCTTTAGGTTCTATTTATCTTCACTTCAAACCTGAACTGGATGCAAATTTTCCACCCTCTTCACGTTTGCATTTGTTTGTATGTGACTAGTATTTGCACAATTACCTGATGCAGATTTTGCACTTTTTGTCTCATTTTCACCCATTGGCTTGCAAATTTTGCATCCTAGAAATTGATGTAAACTTTGCACCACCTTGTTCCTACCTTAATTTCCTCTTATATAAAGTAGGGATTACATCATTTTACTCCTCCCAAACAAACAACCTTCCTCCTGCTTTCTTTCTCTTTGATATGAAGTGGGGATCATATCATTTTACTTCCCATTTCACTCCTCACAAACAAATAAAACGAAGTCAAGCCTGAAGCAAATGTAAACCAGAATTTACACTTAGCTCATTTGTATCCCAAGCATTTACACCAGTATAAATTTCATTTGCATTGCAAATAAATGGAGCCTTAGTTCCATTTTGAGCAGCAATCTCTCTTAAAGCTGCTTCAAGCTTTATACAAAATAGCTGAGGTAATGCTTTCTTGAGGTTTGGCATAAACTTAAGTAAAAATTTAGTTTCATCACCTCCACAAGGGGAGAAGGCAGGAAAGAGATGAAGCTATACTTAAATTGTGGAAATGGATACCAAATCAAATTCTGTTTCTAAGTTGTGCAAATTTCACATGATACCTAAATCAGAACCCCCTAAAGCATGGAATTGAATGCATGACATCTGCTAGGATAACCCTTTTGTTTGATTTCACCATGCTCCAGTTGCTTCTCTATGATGGACTTCAGGTCTTTTCCAAAGATTTTTTAATTATTATATCATTTTAACATATTTTCATTTATTCAGTTTTTTCATTCACAAAAATAGGCTAGATGACTGTCTTTCTTTATGGTTTGTTGATATCCCCTTGTGATCTGGACTTTATTTTCTTAGTTCTTTGTTGCTTTGATGACTTCAACAGTTCAGCTTTACATTCGATTTTTATAATCCAGGAAGAATTCCATTTTCTTACTTGGAGGATATCCACATGAGATTTATGAAAAACTATGGCAGGGTGGCTCATTCTGCACCTGCTTATGCAATGAATGATGAATTTTCGAGGGTCTTACATCAGCAAATGGAATTTTTCTCCAGTAATCCCAGTGCAGATACTCTTAACCGTGTGAGAGGTGAAGTTGGTGAGGCAAGTATCTGTTGTTGCTGGATTATCATTTATTATCTATTAATTGTTTTTCTTTAGATTTTTATGCCATCTAGATTTTGTTGTATCACCTTGTGAGAGTGAGATTATTCAAAAACTTGTGAAGGATTTTATTGTTGTCATCTAAAAAGCCATTCTGGTTATCTTCCCACATCCCATTTTACTCTAGTTGATAGTTACTAAATTGGTTGAATTGGAAAGACAACATTTTTCCTTCCCTCAACCCCGATTTTGATGTCCAAAAAACTCTAAATTGCCTAGTTTTGAAATGTAGTTATTCTTTGTTCTGTATATGGTGGTGCCTTAGATCTATTGTGCAGGCTTATGCTTTACTCATAATAAAAAGTAACAACTAATCTCTATTTCTTAGGTACATTACCTTGAAATTGATTCTTCTTTATTATTTCTTTTCTTCTATGCCCTACAATATCACTCCAAATTGTTTAGCTCAGACCTCGTAAATGACATGTTTTCTCCCAACCAAAGTCCTGATTTTGCTGTCAAAAACCTAAATTGCATGGTTATTGAAGCACTTAATCTAGTTATCCATCTGTTTTGCTTATGGTGTTGCCTTAGATCTGCTATGCAGACTTGCATTTTGTTACACTGGTAGCAACTAAAACTTGATATTCAGATACGTACTATCATGGTGGAGAATATTGAAAAGATACTGGAGAGAGGTGACAAGATTGAACTTCTTGTTGACAAGACTGCAACAATGCAAGACAGTTCTTTTCACTTCAGAAAGCAATCTAGGCGCCTCCGCCGGGCTCTTTGGATGAAAAATGCCAAGCTTTTGTGAGTACCCATATATCCCTTTTATGAGATTAATTTGCTCTAAATGAATATGCTTTGCATTCATGAGCCATTTTTAAGACATTATACCATGGTCCATGGAGAATCATGATCTCCTTGGCTTTTGGATATAAATTATACTAGCAAGTAAACCCATGCAATGCATGGGATTAAATAGAAATTTGGTTGGGTTTGGATCAGGGTTCAGGTTCATCGAAAATTTGTCAAACTCCACAAGTCAGCCCAAGCTGCAGTCAAATTTGGGTTTTAACATCAGTTTAGGTCCAGGATAGGTCTATATTTAGGATTGGTCTTGGTTTGGCCCTTAACCTAACTCAACCTATTAAATGTGTACCCTTACTTTATTAGAGAGGGCCAAAAGGGGTTAAGAAGAAAAGATGGATTTAATGGGGGAGGAGAGATGTTACAAACATTAACTATTGGAGAGAGAGAGAGAGAGAGTTTTAAGAATAATTTTATTAGAGTAGACAATTAAAACCCAAGAGAGATTTAATTTTGATTTATTGTATTTTTAACAATTTAAATTAAAAATGAATAACCACATGCGTGAGAAATGAGGGGAGAAGGAGGTCCGTGTGAGCTTTGTGGTCGTCACCTCCCCTCTTTCCTCTTTCTAATATATAGATACAGATTTGGATAGATGCAGGGCTCATCCTTATATGCATGAACAACATGTAGAAGGTTCTGGCCTATTGAAAAAGCAGGCTGCACCTTGGAAATCTTGTATAAATGAGCCCCTTGGTTGGATGTGCATGAATGAATCTTTTCCTCTTCAATTGCAGGGCCATGTTGACATGTTTCATAGTTGTCTTGCTATACATTATTATAGCTGCTTGTTGTGGAGGCATTACTCTTCCTTCATGTCGGTCTTGATGCAGCTTAGAGGTGATTCATAATGGTGCTTGCTCTGTATGTTAGCCGCCCGTCTGCAGAGTTGAACTTTCAAATTTCTAGGTACGTTGGCCAGGAGTGACATATGCCATGACAGTACAATGGCCCCATAAACAACCCTGCTGATCATCTCTTTGGAAAAACCATGAATTCAATACTTGTGGATGACCCGTCTTCTGTAAATTCTGGGATTTTCTGTATGATATTGTCATCTATTGTCAAAATTCTGTTTCTTCAGTAAATTATGTTTGATGTTTTACAATGGAACCTGCTTCTGCATGTTTCCGGTTTGTTTGGTTCCGATTCATTTTGTTCCTTGAATACAATAACGGTGCTTATCAAACTTGCTTTTGTATCATGTCTGTCTGTAGTGTTGTTGGTTAAGAGCCTTCTTTGTTCGAGTGGAAGCCTCCTAATTTTTGGTTCGTGTAATAAATTCGTAGGTTTTCCATCTTCCAAAGTTATCTTAAACTCCATTGAGTAAAATGATTCCACCTGGCTACGAACGTCTGCAGAGCTGGACATAGTTACCCATGCTATTGCTCAGAGGTCCCTTTACTCTATTCAACCGATTTACTTTTCTTCTTTCCCTTAGGCTGCGTTTGGTTGCAGTGCAAATACAATTTTGCATGCTGTAAATGATGTCTTGTCTGGTTTAAGTGAATACAAAATGGAACCGGATTTCGATTTTCTTTTGTGCTCGTTTTGTTTGGCATTTAATGATACAGAATATGATGCAGTTTTGTGAGCGTTTGGTTTACAACATGAAACAATTGGAAACTCAACTGCATTGCCGGAAATATACAGTTCCAATTTTAGTTCTGGCCAGTGTGCCTTGGCTCTGTTTTGATTTAGACAAATGGGTTTATAAGAAATATCCAAAAAGAGAGTTTCAGTTCTCAAACCGAACAGCATTTGATTTTTACTGAGAAGCAGAGTTCACAAGTAAATAGCGTTCATCAAATTTGGTGATTTCTTCACGAACACCCAAACCAAAATCTAATCAATTCACAAGTTACAACTTCAACAACGGAAGAACCTCCGTGAGTTTCAGCAGTCTTTTGTGACAGATTGAAATTGATTAGTGACTCCAGATGCAATCTAAATGAATCATTACGATTGGTGTTGACTATAGAATGAAATTCTTAGAAACCCACTCGGTCCTGCTAGCTGCAACCATTGGATTTCGTTCTCCTTTCTCTTGCATTTTCTCTCTCCAAAAGCAGGGTTCAGTTGTTGAAAAAGAGAGTTCAATCGTTCATTTGTTGGAGATTCTAATATTTACGATCTTGATTTCTTCCAAAAAAATCAGAGGAATTGATTATGAAATCCCTTGCCTTCCAAGAAATCAGGGGAAGTTGATGTAGAAGCCACCTGTGTAGCAAGGAACCATTGGTGTCATAGATCATTGGTTTGATTTGTGGGTTTGGAGATCTTCTATGGAAAATGATTGAGATTGGATTTCACCATTGTAGTTGCTTTTCTGGTGGAGTTTTTCGAGGTGTCCTTTAAAGTGTACAAACGACAAGGCTTGTTTATATTGATAAGAAAGAGTGTAAGAGTTTACTTTGATAAACTTTGACACTTATATCGATGGAAATTCTGACACATCCACAAATTTATATTGATTTTGGCAACATATTTACACCATAAGCAAAGTGGAAAAACTGGACCAGAGTAAATATTTACATCGAACCAGCGTTTGTATCGTAAACAAATGCAGCATTAGTGCTTGTCATCTCTTGTTAGATTGGACCTCCTGTAATTAACCATGTTTTTGTTAGTGTGAGTAGCCAGATGCCCTCAAAGGGATAACCTTGGTGTATGGATAAATCCTTCGGCCCATGGTTCAACCTACATCAACGGATAAAATGTTTAAATAAGGCATAGGTCTTATTCTCCACTTGTGTTATTTACTGTTACAGCTTGATTCACCCTTATCGGATAAACATACTGTTGCCAATGCCAACTCCGCTTGCTTGATATGGTCAATGGTTTGACTAGGTAGTTGAGAAAGCTTGGGCAGAAAATCCTATCCAGTGGAACACTTGTCTCTGATCTAACAGGCTGAACAGGTCCAAGTGCGCCTAAATTCATGCTGCAGAGATTTGTTACTGTTAACAAACTTTCTTGAATGTTAGAAGAAGCACACGCACACACATAGTTCTGTTCTACAGAAAGCGTGAACTTCAACTCTGCTTTGCAAGGAAAAATCCATTTTGAATCTTAGTCAAGTTGGGTCAAATCTGTATTCTTTGGCTCAGTGTCAGAGCATCAGCCAAGTGTTTTATTTGCCCTCTATCAATTCGCTGTTGAATGATCAGGGACTAATAGTTTTGCAAACAAAACGATGAGATGGAGCCATGGGTTTGAAGAGAGTGCAATAATGGTGGTTACATAAAGATGGTTAGTTGTTTCTAGTTGCTTTTAGGGTCATTGGTTGGGTCCCATGTTTGGCTTGCTTTATAAAATACTAAATGTTACAGAACTTCTATAGCATGTGAATGTTGGCTTAGGAATCATCTTCTCTTCTAGTCTTCCTTTTTTTGTCCTAAGATTACAACCATCGACAATTTTATTGCTTTATTTTCTTTCTGTGTACTTGTCCTCTATTTCCTGAAGCTCTTCTCTCTTTGTCATCTCTTTCTTTGGATTACAAGGGATCTATCCTTTGGATAATGGTTTTATTTGACATTTCGGTCCATCTGAAAAAATATATACGTTCAGGTTTTTAAGGGGATTGACTTTAAGCCAACAGACCGAATGCACCTGACTATTAACCAGGGGTTCTGGGGTTTTGGGTCTATGATTTTGCCTGACTCATTGACAACTCTAAATTAAACAATACCAAAAAAAGTGGTATTTACAACTATCAACCTAATGATTATCGAGTTAATCTAAAATAATCAATTAAAGGCATGTTTGAAACCATTATTGTTTTTCTTGAAAGTGGTGCCATGTTGGTGCCACGTAAGAAATTCGGTGCTGGGAAAAGTGACACCTGTTTGGTTGAGCCTTTTTTCAAGAAATGTTTTTTTTTCCCGTCTAGAATTCAAGAAAAACATGGGTTGAGAACGTTTTTTTTTTTTGCAGTTTTTTCATTTTTATGCTGATGTGATGTTGAAAAACGCCTAAATGAAAGCAACGGTTCCAAACAAAAAAATGTCATTTTTTAATAAAACAACATACCAATATAGCACCATTTTCTTATAAAACAGCACAAATGATGCTAAAAAAACAACATCGTTTCATTTATCAAAAAAAGACTAAAGCAATTGAATTTTTAATAATACTAAACTTCAAACATTATAAATAGAGAATAGGCTGCAACTTGTTCTCATCCATATCAGACAACACTTTTAATAAAGATCAAATGCGCCTTTTTTATGTTTTGTTTTTTGGTTTATTGATTTTTTCCAAGATGCTTTGCTTCAAGCACCTATTGAAATATAAAAAGCATTTCATCAAATAGAAACACTCCAAACTGAGAACTATTCCATTACAAAGAAATAAGAGAGACAAAACAACAAACTGGGTGAAGCCTTTCATCCAAAGGTGGGTACGAAATGATCATACCACATTCAACTTTAAAATGAATTGCAAATATACCTCGACTTAGAGGTCTCTTGTCTCCGAGATGAGATCTTTTGTCGTTGTTATCACATTTGGATTAAAAGAAAAAAAAAAAAAAGAGAACAATTGAGATGGCTTAACAATACTTTTCTGCGCTTCTGAAGTTGTGCCTTTTGTTAAAATGTCCAAGAAATAGTTGTAGTTTTGAAGACCTAGACGCTTAACATGAAAATACACCCAACAAACCAAGCCAAGATCATTACTTCTTACAAAGAAAGATTAAAAAAGAAAGAAATCAATTTGTTTAATAGAGAAAATGTAACAAAAGATGGGATGGTAGGGGTAGACTCTGAAATGTAAAGATAGATAAATAAAAGATAAATCTATTACTTTGAAGGTAACCCCATTTGTTAACATTTTATATGCAGGAACATTAAGTGATTTGTCTCCACAACTCTTTGACATAATATGACTCCAAATCTCTTGCCCACGAGAATTCTGCCTACGTTTACCCACAACACACTACCCCCTTTAATTGAAAATATCGCCCCTTGCATAATACTATGTAGGAGGATGAGATATTTTCCATGTGTGATTGTGATGTTATATGGGTAAACATGGACAGAATTTGTGTGGACAGGAGATCCAGACTCACATAATATTCTCTAACTTAGACCAATGAGAGAATTTGGTCAGACAAATTTGTTCGATTGGGTTGGAAAGAGTTACGTTTCCATCCCTTTAATTTCAAACATAAGAGTGAGACAAATGTGTGGTGGGGCAGGTGGAGAGCATTCTTGTTATTGGGAGCAGATCTCAACTTGAATGTATATAATATAACTTAGAGGATGCAACTTGGGCCAAGTTAGGCTAAACTCAAATTTAAAATGTTGGATTAGGTTGGAACAAATTGAAGTTGGAAGCATGTCTGTCCGCCTTGAGGTCCTATCTTGTCTAACGGCTCAATGCCTCAATGAACAAAATCATGGTATGGTATACTTGCATTTATGCAATGGTTGTATTTTTTGTCCTAAATTATATACATATATATATATATATATTTTTTTTTCTCATTTTTTTGAATTTTTTAATTCCATGCGATTTTTAAACAACCAATGAGATGCACTTTCCCAATAACCTAAATAATCACTTCTCCTAAAATTATTCCTAAACTACCTCCCCCACTATTCCCCATTATTTCTAAATTTATCTCTAATTCCTATTTATCTTCTAAATTATCTATAATTCCTATTTATCTATTAAATTATCTCTAATTCTTGTTTATCTCCTAAATTATCTCTAGTTCCTATTTTATCCTCTCTCATACTTTTTATCTATATCTATCCAAAGAAACTATGGATTAAAAAATTTAAGAATTATTTAAATATTCTAACAACATTATAAAATAACTAAAATATTTATTAAAAATACAAAAAATAATTTTATATTTTTATAAAATATATCACAAAATTATGTACTAACAATTTAAATTATGTTTTTTCTGGATCATCAATTTAAATATTTAATAATATGTAATAGCCTTAAATAAATAAAATTCAAATAACAAAAAAAATTTAAATATTTTATAGATTATTTAAATATTTAAATAACTAAATATTTATCATAACTAGATTTTAAATAGTTAAAATAACGAAATTATGTAACAAATTTAAAAAAAAAATCTTCAAAGTAGAAAAATAATTATAACATAATATTTAAATGAATAATAATTTAATATATTACAAATTTAATAATGAAATTATGTAATCATAGTATAAATTATGA